TGCAAAGCTGCATATTTTTTACAAGGAGAACAAATCCTCAATCAACACTTGTTTGAAATATAACACAGTGAAAGCAAGATTCAGTTCAAATATCATCATACACCACAAGATTGTATAACAAGATTACAGACGCCATCCCTTTATGCTGAAAGGCTAATTATTGACAGACTAAATAACCAAGTAGCAACAGCCCATGGTGATGTGGACGATGAATTCAAAAACCTCACATTCACTGATATTCTGATGGTGCACAAAACAGCTGTATTATGTCAACTAGTGGTTTGGAACGATCTGGGAGCCAGAAGAGAAGCAACACACCAGTCTGACTGTGGACCGTCTGATGAAGTCAACCAGTTCAAGGTTTTGGTATTTAATCAGAGTCTGTTTTAGACAGTTTTTACAAAGAAATGTTTCAGATCTTTTCGTACTGTCTGAGCTCTGCTGGATCTGATGGCGCTGTTGGTCAGTCGGAGACGCTTTGATGTGTGTTCATCTGTTATCTGGACAAACACGGAACCAACTCGGAACAAACTCTGGTTCACAGTGAACCTCCTGCATGTCTGTTTAAGACCCCTCCACTGCAGAGTCATAATTTCTTTATTTCATCTTGCTTATTATCATTTTATAGCTATAATTCACAACAAGAACATGAAGCAACCCTGTCTACAGACGGTTCTGGTAGGTTCTGGAGGTAAACGGTCCTCCTATTGTCTAGAACTGGTTCTGACCCACCACCATCACACATGCTGATATGAGCTTGGAAAGTTTACCCAGAATGCACTTTGTAAAGTTTCCTCTGGTGACTGATCAGAACCAGAACTATGACTATGACTCTATGTCAGAGACATTAAACTGGTACCACTATGAGACATCCCATAATACTGATGCTACCAGCTGAACAGAACCAGGTCCAGGGTTCAGACTGAGACACCTGGATGGGTGTAGAACTGATCTGTAAACTGGCGCTGAAAAAGTTGGACTTTCAGCAGCAGTCGGAGGATTGTTGAAGACCAAAGTGAGTCAGTGTCTCCTAAAAAACACGTTTATCTCTAAAATTAACCTCTTTTCCAACTCAAAGGTTCCACGTGTCTTAAAGGAAATCAGCGATCACAGCTTCAACCTGATCAGTCGACTCCACAGTTCTGCTCCACTCAGGAATGTCCATCGCCAACATTTCAGATCCAATTTGTGCCAGTAAGCCCAGGTTTTGATAGGTTCTGTAAAATCACGTCACATGAACCCTGGTCCACGTCTGGAAAGCATGGCTTAGCCTCCAGGCTGTCTGGCCTCTGAAAGACCTGATGAAGTTCAGGGCCGTAACAGCTTCTGCAGTCTGATGATACCAGGCGGTCCTGCCCAGAACCTCCCTGAAGATTTCAGGTTGGTAGAAAACTGGGACGCTGCACAGAACCTTCGTCTGATCTGCTTCATGTTCTCAGAATTCACAGACTAACCGTGAATATGTTGTTCTCAGGAGATGGAGGTTCCCCTTCAGGTGTACACAGGTGAAGTCGGCCTGTAATTCTCCCAGAACTCCATCAGTCTCCAAAACATCCCAGAAACACTGTTCAGTCCAAAAGGCTCTGAACTGGAACTGACCCAAAGGCAGGCGAAAGCGGTTCTCTCTCTGCAGTCAACAAAACACCAAGTAGTGCCTCCACACACACCTGAAGCTCATCTGGTTCATCAGTGGACCTGCAGCTCAGCTGAGCAGATCCGATCAGACCAGAACAGAACCTGGTTTCACTCTGTGTCACGTTGGAAATTTTCAGGTGAATTTTAGTTGAATGTTATTTTACAGAGTCCATTTGTCCCACCCCAGGTTTGTCAAGAAGTGTTCTGTTTGCTGTTTGGAGCGAAAACGAAGAATTTAATGTTTTCACACCTTTTCTCTGGTTTCACCATCAAAAAGCATCTCACCTGTGAAGCCATTTTGAAGGTTCAGTATATCCAGAACTCAAACTCCCACTGGATGGATCCAGCAGAGGACACGTTTCTAACCACTGGTCCTTGAAAAAGGGAAAAAGTGAGAAACTGTGTCAAGCGAAGTTGGTGGTGTGGCTCCAGTGTGGTTTAGAAACTAAAACATTGTGAAAAAGTTTAATAGCTTCCTTCAGTGATCTCAGAAAGTGAAACCTGAATATATTCTAGACTCACACACACAAGGTGAAATATTGAAATAATGTTTTAGTTGGAGTTTAGATGATCACGGTTCATGGACATCACAAATCCAGGATCTCAGATTATTAGAATATTTCATTCACAGCTAGTAAGCACATGACTATTCCACCGGTATAAAGCGCTTTATCTGAGGGTCCAGTCCAGTGATGAACCTCAGTCATGCAGAAGGCTGCTGACCCGAAGGTTGTCCAGGAGATGATCATCAACACCTTCAACAAGGAGCCTCAGAAGATCTCTGCTGAAAAGGCTGTTAGCAGATGATTGTGTTCCACATCATGAAAACCGACTGAAGGTCAAAGTTGACAGGAAACAGTAAAGAAGCAGCAGAGATGATCAGCCTTCAGAGGACTGCAGAGAAAAGATGGTTCCAGAACTCTGGAGAACTTCACAGGACCGAGGCTGGGGTCAGAACATCCAGAACCACCAGACGTCTCCAGGAAAAGAGCTACAACCTCACATTCCTGCTATCAAGACACTCCAGAACCAGGATGCTACTGTGCTTGATAGAACCCCACAGAACCCTACAGAACCCCACAGAACCCTACAGAACTCCATAGAACCCTACAGAACCCCATAGAACCCCACAGAACACTACAGAACCCTACAGAACCCCATAGAACCCCACAGAACACGACAGAACTCCACAGAACCCTACAGAACCCCATAGATCCCCACAGAACACTACAAAACTCCACAGAACCCTACAGAACCCTATAGAACCCCACAGAACACTACAGAACTCCACAGAACCCTACAGAACACCATAGAATCCTACAGAACCCAATAGAACCCCTCAGAACCCATCAATACCCCATAGATCCCCACAGAACTCCACAGAACCCAACAGAACCCCACAGCACAGCCGAGCTGAAGGCTGCCATCAGACTGAGCTTCGTTGCGTCTCAGCAGAACTCCAGGCTGCTCAGCTCCATGAGCCACCGATGCAGGAAGTCAAAGTGAATAGATGGACATCAGAAGTTGGACCTTTGTGTTCTGTGAATCCTGTTCTGACTGAGCTCACGAAAGATTCTAATAATCTGAGATGCTGGATTTCTGGTGTTCATGAGCGACGAGCTACGACCTCCAGACAAAACGAGACTTCGGTGTTTCTTTGTCACATGGCGGTACCATCGCTTCAGTTTTCACTTTCTGAGATAACTGATGGACCGTACCGGGCTTTTAACCAGAGTTGGTGTTTGGATCGGTCCTCTGCACATTTCATGGCCCAAACAAACACATTAATGAAGAATCAGCAGAACGTGAGTCAAGCTGCTGAAAGAAGAACAAAGAATTTTACATGAAATCTCAGATAAATCCATCCATCATCTCTCCACCTTCATCCTCACTATGGGGGGCGGAGCCTATCCCAGCTGACTCAGGGTGAAGGCAGGTTCACCTGGACAGGTAACCAGTCTATCACAGGGCTACACTTAGAGACAGACAACCAAGCACACTCACATTCACACCTACGGACAATTTACAATCACCAATTAACCTCAGCATGTTTCTGGACTGTGGGAGGAAGCCGGAGAACCCGGAGAGAACCCACGCTGCACGGGGAGAACATGGAGACTCCACGCAGGAAGATCCCGGGTGTCCTCACCGGGACGCCAACCACCGACCTTCTTGCTGCGAGGCGCTTACAGTGCTAACCACCGAGCCCTCAGATAAATTCAGCACAAAGTAAAAGTACAGCAACACTTCAGATGATGTAATATTTCTGTAAACTGTACACGTACTTTATTTATTTATTATGATTCTATTATTTTATTGGAAACAGATTTTTATTTGCAAACACACCAACAGGTTTCATCTTCTGTAGAGAGAACTGCTGCTGTCACTCATTCAATCTTCATTTGATTTATTTCCTGAAATACAGTCAGTGAAGCTACTGAAGACATCTGTTGTTTGATCAGGTAGCGCCCCCTGGAGGACAAACAGACTCACTACAGTTCAGGTTATTTATGTCGAATCAGTTTAAATCTTTCAGCTCCGACAGATTCCATTAAAACACGTAAACCTTTAAGGAACCGGAGTGTGACACGGACAGATGATGGAAACGTCTGTGATCGCATCCCTCACAGCTGGAGCCTACAGACCTTACAGACTCATCGATGAGCGACTGGAATCTATCACGAAAACCCACTGACAGCGACGGCTGTATCACAGCAGGTCAGATCAAGATCATGAGGGAGCTTTCAGTCCCACCTCTGCTACTGAGCCCTTGTGCCTTGTTGTCTGGATATGGCTACAAGATCTGAAAAAGCAGTGGCCCAATCAGCAAGCTGCTCTAAACGGATGATCTGAAGTTGTACAGCAAAAGCGACCAGGAACAAGCTGGAGAACTGAAAATAGTGAAGCAATTCAGTGAGGACGTCGGTATGGGATTTGGCTTAGAGAAGTGTTCCAAGGTCACTTTCAAGACAGGTCTGGTGCCTCACAGCTAGAAGGTCTCCGGTTCACGTCCCGGTGAGGACACCCGGGATCTTCCTACGTGGAGTCTCCATGTTCTCCCCGTGCAGCGTGGGTTCTCTCCGGGTTCTCCGGCTTCCTCCCACAGTCCAGAAACATGCTGAGGTTAATTGTACACACAGTACACAGTACACAGTACTTATACTGTGTGTGTGTACATTATACATGTTGTAGAACCACCTTACGGCATCGTTAATGAACACAGGGTTTCTGGAGAACTCAGAACTGCACTGTTTGGGCTGCAGGAGTCTGACATGCGGTTCAGGAAACTTCTGCAGAACCAGAACCTGGCTGGACCTCCTGCAGTTCCTCCTGGTGGCCGCTGAGCGGCGCTGCAGGCTGCTGCCCCGGAAGTAGAACTCGGCGTTTCCGTCCAGCTCATTGTTTTGTTGCTGTCTCTGCGTTCCGGTTCTCCAGCAGCAGAACCGTTCACCTACCGTGCACCACCAGAACCAGGTTCTGCTTGTCTTGCCGCTCAGATGTATCGAGGTCCGGCCAGACCTCAGCGGAGCCCCGCAGCTCCGCAGGCGGCTGGAAGGTATCCCTCCCCGGCTCCCTGCTGGGGCTTCCCCGGGGCCCGCTCCCCGTACGGAGGCTCCCCCCGGGGCTGCCCCCCTTTCTCTCCCGGTTCTCCTGTTTACTCCCCAGACTCCAACCGAGGGTACCGGGGCGCTTCTCCGCGCGGGTTCGGCGGCGGGTCCCGGTGCTTCGACGGACAGCGGCGGCGCAGAGGAGACGGTTTCCGGCGGCCTCAGTCCTTCTCCCCCTCTGCGGCTCCGAACGTCCAGGTAACGTGACCGGATCAGAACCGGACCGGCTTTAATCAGAGCTTTTCTATCTGCTTCATTTTGACCGGCGGACACTGACTGAGAGCATCGATCAGTATCAGTAATCAATACTGAGTATCTGTAGTCTAAGTCTCATAGCTTAATCGTAGCAGCTGGACTGCTTGAGTTCCTTGAAGACGTTCCACCTCATCCAGGAGGCTTCATCAGCTCTGACTGACCGGTTGGGAGTTCCACATACCACACACTGCAGACACGACCGTCTGTCCTCCCTGCAGCCCAACATCTGGACGTTGTCTTCAGATGAGAGTCCTTTGTCCCTGAGATGCAGGTGGATGCTGAGTCCTGTCCTGAGGAGCTTCTGTGCTGAGCCATGCCTTGTGGAGCGGTGGTTTAGTCTCCCTGATTTCCAGGTCTGGGCTTTCCTCGCTGCACTGGACTGCGTTGCTCTGTTTATGTCCCTGATGTTGTCCTGCAGGGAGGACAGACAGTTTGAGAGGGGGTGAAAGAAGCATCGAACTGGAAAGACCACCCCTCAGCAGAGGTGGAGGTCTGAGGCATCCCCTCTCACCTGTTTACAGTTCAGTCCTCAGATCTCTCCCCAGGAAGATGAACCCACATCCACACCGAGCCACAGAGACCCTAACGAACCTCACTGTGTCAGGGGGAGCACTAACGAGTCACATAACGAGGGGGAGGAGCAACAAACCCCCAAATGAAACCCAAACCCAGGTGTTAACGTGTCCTTCAGGATATCAGTATGTGGAACTCCCAACCGGTCAGTCAGAGCTGATGAAGCCTCTTGGATGAAGGTGGAACGTCTTCAAGGAACTCAAGCAGGTCCAGCTGCTACGATTAATCTACCAGAAGAACCAGGACCCGGAGGACTGAGAACCTTCACAGACATGTACTATAACCGGGTACTATCAGTAGTATAACCGGGTACTATCAGTAGTATAAGCGTGTACTGTCTGCAGTACCATCTTTGGCCACGGTAGTCAGTGAGTGATCAGGGCGACCATGTTTCTGTTCTCAGTCTTCAGATGCTTCAGTGGAGAAATACTTCAGTCCGTCGATGCTGCAGGATCCGTGGAAAAGTCTGCAGCCAGTCACAGCCGCCGGCACCAGGAAGCCGACGTGACGGCGAAGTGAGAGCCGGCACCATCAGCAGGACCTGATCTGAGGCCTGAGAGTCACCAGCAGCTTCAGGGACCAATGGCTTTTACTTGACGTGTTTTTAAAGGACCAGCTGACGTGTGAACGCTGTGGAACGAATCCTCTTTTATTCAATTAAAAGAACAAAAGCTTCTGCTTCAATTATTGTTTCTTCTTTCATCTCATTTTAATTTGAAAGGAAAACTGGGCTTTTTTTGTGGTGAGTGAATGACTGGTTCTGGTTCTGGTTCTGGCGTCACTCTGAGCGGTTCTGGCAGCTGCTGCTTTAATCACTGTGTGGAACATCTAACTCTGATTTCTTCTGTGGTTCTGTCAGTCTGATCCGGCCCGGTGCTGTTTAACTGCTCTATGTTCTGAACATGAAGCGTTCTGTCTCTGATTCTTTTAAAAACTGAGCAAAGAAGCAGAGTCTCAGACACAGCTGATGATCAGAACCATGGTCCGACCCGAGAACACCATCAACTGTCGTATTTACATTAAACAAGAGCTTCGCTACTAACGAGCTGGAAACAGCACACGCACATAGAATCACTCATTTTCATCCTGGACCAGTCTGACATTCGAACACCTCACAGTACTTTGTTCAAAGTAATCACACACCTGTCTGACAGGGTTGGGCTCAGCAGCACATGTGGTGTCTTCTGACGAGCAGGTGTTCAGCTCGTGAGGTGTTCCACCTGTGACCAGGTGGAAAAACACAACACCTTCATCTGAACCACGCATTCAACCTTTACTCTATCTGACCTGATAAAAACATCTGGATTTGAAAAGCATGAGGTGAACATGGTCCTCAGGATTCTGGTTCAAGTTTCAGGTGATTACTGAGCCAGTATTAATGTTATCTGATTCATCCAAGATTCATCTTTTTTGAAGCATTCATCAAACACGAGAGGAACGTTTCTGAAGCTGTGCAGGTTGCTGCAGGAAACAGCTGAAGGAGGATCAACTCTGTTCCAACATCTCAACTCTGAAAGAGGAGCCAAATGGGAATCTGTAAATCAGAGTTCATGAAGCAACTTTCACACCTGCACAACATTTTCTCACCAGTTGCTGCTTCAGTGTGCTGCCACGAGTCTCACTGTTTACTGTCAAATGAAAAGTTCCACTGTGACCTGTGGAACATCTGGGTTAGGGTCCTGGTGTGCTCGGCTCAGCAGCTCATGTTCCACCTACGCTTTCTGTGTGTACGACAGTCTACTGGTGTTTTCACACAAATTTCATCTGTCAGCAGCTACACACTGAACGTTCTGCTGAAGGTTTGGCTCAGTCAATGATCCATGTTCAGTTCTCGTCTCCCTGCTGCAACTGTTCCACCAAACAAGCCCCCTTCACTGTTTTACAGCAACACTGTGACTGGTTTAAAGAAACGCATAGTGTGAA